GCTCAAATCTGTACTTGTCTGATGTTAAATGTCCAACTAGTTACTGTCTTCACTTGGTGATAGGGGGGCACGGGAGAGGTAAGCGGGGTCTTCTTCTAGCTCAGCTGACTCTGAGGTGACATGCTTAGCAATAGATTAGTGGTTGGTGCACTTTAAGATTCCTTTCACTTAATACAAGTGTTGCTCTGCGTTCCCACCTCCTTCCTTCCCTCCTCGCCCCCATCACCATGATCACAAGCATACAGAATTATGAGGAGCTCTTCACTGGCTGCCCCCTGTGTGTACTGAGCCATCTCAGGAGTCAAAGGGTTAACAGGATACCCACTCCAATAGTCTAGTTCCCTAATTTTAGCCCAGATATTGACACAAAGGCTCTGCCAATGTTTACGCTGTTAACAGTGGCTTCCGACTCTCTCTGGAGGTTTACAGCCACCAGTTGCTGCTCTGACGTATCAGCACTATTTGTTTAGCATGGGGCAAGGTGATAATAAAGATATCCAATCAACTTTCAAACTTTCCCTCAAACATCACAGGCTTAACTCGCCGAACGAGTCCAGTTAATGGAAAATTTGAAGGCGTTCCAGTGCATTTAGGAAAGCCACTTGCGAAATGAAGAATTTTAATTCCCGAGCAAAAATCACGTAGAAATCAATATAGGAATAGGAAACGCTGCATCTATTGTCCACTATGCCAGCTCCCCACACAGGGGAGAGAGCGGCCCACAAAATATACAGTCAATTCACTTTACAGTATATTATGTAAAGCGCTTTGAGACATCTCAATGACATGATAAACGACATATAAAATGCAAGAATTATTATTATTATAAGTTTCAATCCCTAATGTTTTCCATGCTAGTCAGGTTCAAACAGGTAGCAGTGAGGGTGCTATAATTGACCTCAATTTCCCTGGTCTGGAAAGAGAAGGAGAATGGGGGGGGGGGAAGAGTCAGTCAAGGTCCTCACCCGGACTTCTTTCTGCGTGCATCTGTGTGAATATCGGATGGGATTCAACCTTGGTTTGTGAAGCTCTCTTCCCTGCAGTGTAAGAATCTGAAGATTTAGGCCATTGCCGGAGGGCTGTGGGCTGGTACATTGAAGAGACAAAGGGCCAGGGAGAAAGATAAGGAGAATGCAAACTCTGAACTGCCCACCTTTAGAAACAACAATGTCAATTAGTATCTTAATAAGGAAAGATTAGAAGAAAAAGCCAATGTACAAGTCACCAAGACTTCTCTATCATTGTCGCTTTCGTGAAAACTTGGATCTATATTTTTGTCTTTAAGGAACACTTATATTAGTTAATATTATGTTATTAGTTTTTACACTAACCAAAAAAGGAACAACTGTGAACAACAGGGATAGTAGAAAAGCCGCAAATATTCACTTCAACTTTTGGCATTGCCAACTCACTGAGTAAAGACAGACCACAAAACTGTGTAGAAAGTATTAAAGGCTTCACTACCTATTGTGTTACTCACAGGAGCATTATAATATCTGCACTGCCCTACATGAAATGTTAATCTGTCTGAAAAGATATATTTCCACCATCTGCAGTGTCTCTTTCTTATGTCAAACCTGACAAGAGATTGCAACAGCAGTTCAGCCCTACAATGATGACTCAGTCAGCACTGTGCATAAGCAAATTCCTAGTGCTCAGTGCTCTTGCATCATAGTTTTGGGCTACCTCGGGGAAATGTGGCCAGAAATGGACTTCTGCAAGTCACGCAGCTGAATCAAAATGACAAACTGAGACGCTTTATCATCTAAATTCCAGTTAAAAGGAAAATTACTACATGTGAAAAAAAATTCTTAAAATGTTAATTCTCGCAACACTGCCTCGGGTGCTTTTCCAGGCAGGAATTTTGGGGAGGTTTCCTGCTGTCAGCCTTCTGCCTTCGTCACAACTGATCTACGCAACTGTAGCCGCAGGACAGGGTGTGCATACCCAGGTTTGACAGAATAAGCGGGGGTGGCAGAGCCTGGGCAGAGGCAAAGCGAGTATGAGCTGGAACAGGTGGGAGACACCTGGCTGGTGATGCTTGAAATTAGTCCGGTTCCCACAGATTTGCCGTTAAGTGTATTGTGCATATTACAAACAGTGGAATAACCTGGGGCTCTTAATGTAATGAAGGAGAGATCAGTGAGGCTGAGTGACAGGTCTCTTGGGCCAGGATCAGGCCGTGGATATGAAGCACAGTGTGTGCTCTGTGTCTCTGCTTCTCCCTCCACATGTACACCCACACACACATCTGCAGGACTTAGTTACTTCCACACCCAGGGGGCTGACCAGCTTCTCCTGCTGGAGTGGTAAAAGCACACAACCCAGACCAGGAACAGGCATGCGTCACACTCCCATCCTAGCACTACTTCCGATCAAGGCTGAGGCTGTGGTTAAGGGTGCCTGTTCAGCACAGCCAGATGCAAATCCAAAATAGAATTGCCCTTCCCACCAAACTTTGAGGGTTGACAGGTTATTTGTTGGAGGAGGAGTGAGTCCATAACCAAACCCTTGATGTCCACACATGTACACATTCCAAGTAGGGATCAGTGTATGGGGATCGAAAGAGGGAATCCTACTGACTGCCCCTCTCTAGCCCAGGTACATGGAAGTCAATAGTATCAATCCAAGTTGAGATGGGCTAAATCAATGGAGAGAAGGTTATGCGAGGACCTGATAGAGGTCTTCAAGATCATGAAAGGTTTCGACAGGCTAGATAGGGAAAAGCTGTTTCTGCTGGTAGGTGTGTCTGTGACCCATGGTAACAGTCTTAAGATATCTACCAAAAGAAGCAGAGGGGAGGTTAGAAGAAATTTTTTCACTCAGCGAGTTGTTCGAATTTGGAATGATCTGCCTGAAAGGGTAGTGAAGTCCGATTCGATAACAACTTTTAAGAGAGAACTGGATAGGTATCTGGGGAAGACGGGTTTGCAGGGTTATGGGGAGAAAGCTGGTGATTGGGGTTAGTGAAAGTGACTTGCTCTGTCAAAGAGCCGGCACAGACTCGATGCGCCGAATGGCCTCCTTCCGTGCCGTAACATTCTATGAATCTATGAAAAATAATTTACTCAAAGAAAACTAAAAAAACTTGAAAACAGACACATGTCTAAACAAGGTAGTGAGAAAGGCAAGTCTGCAACTGTACATATTCTTGCAACACCACTTTATGGCACCCCAGAGGTTAATGCAATTATTCTGTTACATGAATTGTCAAAAGGGCGTGGGTTCAATCCCTACATTGAGATTTAAGTCTTGACGGACACCTCAGTTCAGTGCTGCTGTGCTGTTCTTCAGGTGAGATGTTAAACCAAGGTCCCATTTACCTGTTCAGGTGGATGTTAAAGATCCTGTAGCACAATTTGAAAAGAGAAAGGGATTTTCTACTGGTGTTTCTTTTCCTTGCCATTAACCCTCCAGATAAGTTGATCATTCATCTCATGGCCGTTTATGGGACTTTATGTTTGCAAAATGGCTGTTGTGTTTGCTACAAATTCAGTCACTACACTCGAGTGCTATGAAGCACTTTGAGACATTTTGACATTGCAGATGCTATATAAAAAAAACTTTTCTTTAAATTAATCACCCTCTCAACTGTTTAAAAGGGAAAGTTTTTTTTATATAGAGGAAGCACTTTACCATTCAAAATACTTCTCCTAGATTTTGAGGAAAATAACAGCAATATAAATTTGTGCTTTATTGATAGCAGAAAATCCTGGCCTTTCTATATTGTCAGAACAAGTTTGCTGAGTTTGTTGTATGCTGGAGTGACATCAATGAGTTTAATGGAGTTTAAGACTGACTGGCAGCTTATCCTGAGCCATTCTATATCAGGAAAGTCCATTATCAGTAAGTAAGCTCCTCTCTGTAAGATATGTCATTCAGTGCAAGTACAATTGTGTTTCTTTGTAAGTATCTGGTAGTTTAGTTCTTTGAACAGCAAGTAAATCTCCCAATATTTCTTTCTCTTTAATTGTGAGGGAAAGAAAGAGAAACGGAAACAGCACAAGTGTGGGGATTCAGTGAGGGTTAAAAAATGTCCAAAGAATGTTTTAGATTTAAGTTGTTTCCTTGGTATCAAAAAGCTACCGTACATTGGAGCCTCTCTCTCTCACACACACACACTGTGCCTGGCAGCTGTACAGAAGGCATGGGAGGAACGTATTATTGACTATTCTGTGCTTTCATGCAGTTTATCTTTAAAGGAAGGAACCATGAACAATGTGCATTGTATTATAGTTCATATAATGTCAATACAGTGTGGCTCAGAGGCAAATAGGAATTTCTGACTGATTGAAAATACAGTAAAACCCACTGTTCATTTACATTAGATATGAGGCAAATTCTCAATACAAGTAGATTGGGAATATACTCTGCTGTTGAATCAATAACTGTGTTTGAAACTATTCCAGTCATAGGCAAAACCGGACTATGAAGTATCTCCTGTGACTGACCTGCGAAAAAGGAGTTAACATGATTCCTTCCACCGAGGTCTACATTTTGGTAAAAATAATAATAATCCTTGCATTTGATCGAGCACCTTATCAAAATCATTGAGATGTTTCAAATCGCTTCAAAGAATATACTGTAAAGTGAATTGACTGTATATTTTGTGGGTGAAAAGCAGAATCCAATTGCGCATAGCAGTGGCTCACAAACAGTCGTAGATTGAGTGACCAAATTATTATTATTTTGAAGGGGCTATTACCCCCAGAAAGCAATCTCCCAATTGACTAACAACCGAGTTCCTATTTACTGCTAGGTAAACAGAGGCGTGTGGAGTAAGGAAACTTGTCTAAGGTTTCCCCCTGCCCTGGTTGAACCTGGTTCCTCTCGCTTGCGAGGCGAGTGCTTTAACCACAGGACTCCACAAAGAAATAACCCTCTTTACTTGGTTTTAAGTAAGGAGTGTTATTTCTGCAATTTCAAATGAACACAAATGCACCCACTAGCAACAAAACCCAGCGATTGTTGTAGATTATTAGTGAGAGAGTCAGGCCTACCTGCAATTCCCTGCAGCAATCCGCAGATGTTAAAAATGCTCTTCTTCAGGATGCTCTGCACACACATGGTGAAGACGGACACGAAAGCCACGGCGCACAGAACCAGAATACCTGTGGCCAGAAAGATAACCGTCGCTTTCCAGAAGCCGCTGGCAATTTCCCCAAAGTTCTCAGCGTACGGACCACACAGAGTCTCTCGCTTGATGTTCGTGGAGTAGGAGAGTTTGATGCAGCGGCTGTACAGGCCCAGGGTGGGGCGGTAAGGGCTGCTCACGCTGCCCGAGCGGTTTGTCAGGGCGGGAGAGCCGCTGGGCTTCGACCTGCCGATCAGCCAGTCGGCGCTCATGAAAGCAATGAGTTCAGCGAAGGCCACCACAATGCTGAGCAGGGTCCATAACATCGAGCGGCAGGTAACAATCACATGACACATGGTTTAATTCAATCTGGTACGGAGCCGTTCTACTCCTCTTCCAGCCGCACGGGGACAAACGGCTAGCGAAACGTTCAGACAAGTTCGAAGAAGTAAATGTTTTACGTACTGTACGTAGTATATAAACCGCAGCCGGACGTGGAATTTCTCTCGCTGTAATAACTGGAAAATAGAGATTGAGCCTTGAGTTAAATCCTCACTTTATCACAGGGTGAAATCAAACGTAAATCGCTTCAGCTAGGATCCTCCACCAACTCGCAAGTCTTACAGCTTCTGTTCTGCTGGTTGATTCTTCCTCTGAGCCAAGTTCCGGGAGAGTGGAGTGTGTCTCTTTTATCACTGCTCAGAGTGGCATATGACGCTACATTTCACTGGAGGACATTCCAAGGTCTGCCCACAACCAGGTTCTTATCAGAAAAAAACACACCTACAAGGGGAGGAGGAAAGAGAGAAAGAGAGAGTAAGCGGCACGTTAGTACAAACACCACTCTGAGGGAAAAGTGATTCAACTTTCATTCAAACTCGGAATTAATAGGGAAAGATTCAACAAGAACTTGTCAAACACAGTTTGTTGGCTGGAAACGTTAAGGACTTAACTCTCTGTGTGCTCCGTGTATTTTGTTGCTAGGAAACAACAGCAGGTCTCTCCCACGCTAGAACTCTCAAAACTGGAACCAATAAAACAGATTTCCCTTTATTCTTCTCAGTGCTGCCCCTCTGTCGTAAATAGCTGTGTAAAAGTAATGTGAAAGAGACAGTGGCTATTTCTCTAGACCTGCATGTTGTAATCTGCACTCAAACACATCAACCACAGAGGGCTAGCAGCTTCATTGAGTCACTGTCTGCCTTTTCTCTTGCTTTTCAAATAATCCTTGCATTTGATATAGTGCCTTGCCAAGATGTGCTTCACAAGGCTTTACTAATAAAATATAATGACTGTATTTATAGCCGAATGCAGCAGACAATTTGCACACTGCAATGTCCCACTAACAGCAATGAAGTAAATGATCAATTTTTTTGGGCTGGGGGTATTGTAAATCGCCTTGAGACATCCTCCCGACTTGAAAGGCACTATACAAATGTAATTTCTTGTTGTCCATGATACTGGGAGAAATTCCCTTCACTTTGCGTATAGTACTGTTGGAACAGATGGATGGGACCTTGGTTTAATGTCTCGTATGAAGGACAGCATCTCCAACAACGAAGCAAACCCCAGCACTATATTGGAGCATCGGCCTAGACTACAAAGTCAAAGTCCCAATATTGGGGGAGGACTTTCCACAACGTTCCGACTCTGAAGCGAGCAAGCTACCAACTGAGCCAGGCTGACACCAAATCACCCCGATTTTAGCAAACAAAAACGACAACTGACCAGTATCTCCCTAGCCATCAGACATAATAAGGACACCATGGAATCTCAATTATCCATCACTATAGAGAGGTCAATAAATAAGGCTCCAAACAACACAAATACCATTTATGATCAATAAGAAGTTAAATCAATCAATTAATACCACCGCTTTCCACCAAGCTCAAATCCTCCATTTGGAAACAAAATGGCTCTGTTACAAGGTATGGTATCACAATATTATCTATGTAACATTGGTAATAAGGGAAATTAACATTTATTGCTTCAAGATTTATTTTAATTTGAGAATATGTTCTTGTGGACGTCAGGTAGGAAAGTGGAATGGGGATGGGGGAGAGGGGACTGAGGTCAGAGGCAGTGTGAAGCGGGGGTCAGGGGGAGTGGGTTCAGAGGATTGGGTTCAGGGGTCGGGGTCAGGGTCAAGGAATGTGGGTGCGGAGATTGGGATCGGGAGGAGAGGGGAGAGGGTATTGGGATCAGGGAGAGAGGGGAGTGGGGCCTGGGGTCAGGGGAGGAGGGGAGCGTAGACTGGGGTCAGGCTCGCAGATTATCCCTTTAAGACTATGGATGATAATCAGGAGATGAAATAATCCAAAGTTTCGCTGGAAGACATTATGGTAAGGTCCATTTAATGGAACCATTAGTCTTTCCCTGAATGGGTCAGGCCACCAGGCAAGGCGAGGGTTAAGATGACAGAAGAACAAACATTAAAAATTGAATGAAACTACAGTATTCATGTCTGATATCAACTTGACATGGCCCCACACCCCAGTATTTGACCACGAAAGGCAGGAATCTAGTTAATAATCACAAAGCACAATATCAATATTGAGAAGACAAATATAGAGGATTGAGTTCAAACGTGACTTTAGAAATCACTCCGGTTGGCCATCCAAGCCTGACTGAAGGACCCCACTGTTATGTAGAAATTAAAAATATACATCTACTGCTGCTCTAGGAGCATTAGCAGCTGTATATTTAGATTAGAATTTATTTTATGCATTTCCTGTTGTTTAAATTTCTCCATGACGCCTATTCCTATTCTAATTTTTGCCAAACAGATGGAGCGAGCTGCAAAATAGAAACATGGATGACTGTTCCTCATTTTCCCTCCTTGCCCATAATGCTCACACCCACGGCTGGCGCGGCCTGGCTGACATTAAGTGATCACCATGTGAAGACCCACGACTGGCTGAGGTGAGTTTTAGCTTCTAGTTAAAGATCTCATGACATTAACCAAAAGGGGAAGGAAATATCTCTGGGTGTCATAGCTTGGTGAAGGAGCGAAACCTTAGGCAAGTTTCCTTATTCCACGTGCCTCTGCTTACCTAGCAGTAAGTAGGCTGTTAGTCAATTGGCAGATCGCTTTCCGGGCACAATAATCCCCCTCCAAAGAAAAATGTGGTCACTCAATCCACGACTGTTTGTGAGAAATTGCTCTGCACAATTGGCTGCTTAATTTCGCCCCCACCAAAATACACAGACAATCCACTTTACAGTATATCTTGTGAAGCGCTTTCAGGCGTCTCAACGATGTGATAAGGAGCTATATCAAATGCAAGATTATTATTATATATTATTATATAGCTTGCTGTGCAAAGCAGGTGCCATATTTGTCTGCAAAAGACAGTCACTACAGCTCAACAGTAATTGCTTTGAGATGTATTGACACAATAAGGCAATGTTCTTTCTTGAAGGCCTCAGGCTACTTTGCAAGTCTGATTGAGCAACTTTCTTCTCCTCAATGAGCCAATTTAATGGAGAGAAATATTTAACCTCGTCTTTCTGTTCATGGGAACAAATTACAAAAGAAGACTTGTTCAGGTCTGGGAAGAGCACTGGCAATAGTCAGGAAACAGGAGTGTAAGCAGTTAGGAATGTACAGATAGGGAATAACATTCTCTAATGTTTAATTAAATAACATTACAGGAATTGAATTGAGCTAGTTGGTGAACTGGATTTTCTAAAGGTGTACTGTTCAGATGACAAATTTTTGCTTCTGGCTATGGTTCCAGGTGGAGTGTGAAGATGGATTTTTACAATAATAACAATTCTTGCTTTGATATGGTAACTATAACGTAAAAATGCCTCAAAGCACTTTGCAGGGCATTGCTGTTAGAAGTGACAACATATTTGTAAGTAAGTAAACGTAGCAGCCATTGTGTACATAATGGTAAGTCGGAACCTGGTTGTTAAGTTGATTGGCAGATTGCTTTTCTGGGGACAATAATCCCTTCAAAAATAATAATAATGATTTGGTCACTCAATCCATGATTGTTTGTGGGACACTGCTGGCGAAACTGGATGCCATGTTCGCCTACAAAATACACATTCAATTCACTTTACAGTATCTTCTGTGAAGCGCTTTGAGAAGTTTCGAAGACGTCATAAGGCAATTTTAAATGCAAGAATTATTATTATTACTATGGCAAGTTCCGACCAACAGCCATCATGTAAATGACCAATTTATCTGGAGAATTTCAGGCCAGGAAATTGGAAGATACTGCCTTCTGTTTTCCAATAATATTATGGGACCTTTAACATCCATTTGAACAGATAGGAGGGACCTTGGTTTAACATCTTATTCAAAGAGTAATCCCTGTAGGTCAGCCTAGACTCAAAGTCTCAAAGTCCTAGCATAGGGCTTGAACCATCTAACCCAGAGACGAGAACACTATCAACTGAGCCAGGCGGACAGAAGCTCAGAACAAAAGTTTGTCTCACTCTCTGGCACCATTTGTTGATCCTCAAACACACAGCGACAATGTGGTATTACAGCAATTTGATTTATGTGTGCGGAGGGAAAGATCAGGGATTTCAATACAATAATGCAGCACTGTCAATATTGCAATAACGCCCCTAAAGGCAGAAATACTAACTCCTGCTACCAACAGCAAGGAATAAATTCCACAAAATACTTACTTGTCTGGTACAGAGGAAGAGAAAATCTTTCTGCTATTGCAGACTGTATTCACATCACTGGGCCACGGCAATAATTCCACCTCTGGGATAAAGACAACATCAAGGTGAAGACATGTGGTTACTTGTTGACTGATTATTCGGGGGTTCACTGTAAGGTTAGGGCTGATTTTGGTGAGTTAACTACAAGACAGCATCTGCAGTCCAGAAAGGAAAACCAGACTTCATCACTTCACACTCCTACACTTCCAGGTTTCCTTTGGTCAATGGGGGCGTTTCACAAATACGGAAATGCATCACCATGCTTAAGAATATCCAACCAGATTGAAAGATCCTACACATGAACATTTCCCTGACCCAGCTTCAGCAGAAGCAAGGATCCAAATCCACCGGCACTATCTCTTGAGTACCATAGTCAGCTCACAGCAGGATACAGGGAATAATACCATTCAGCATGATTCACCCGCTTTCTGAGGGGGTTGGGGAGGGGGCGCGGGAGAAGAGTAAAAAAAAGAGAAATTGAAATTGGCAGAGCCTGGTCATGTGAATGTTCAGATGGAGTGGAATTCTCTTGATGCTCAGACGCCCACCACACATACACACACTACACTTGTTTCTTTGTGCACAAAATAAGAGTGGTCAGCACAGAACTGATGAAGAAAATCTTTAATCCGTAGCTTGCTCCTTGCACATTGCTATCAGGAAAGAACTCTCTTCCGCCCACAAACACTCCAGGCAGCTGTAACAATGAAACCATCCACTGTCCTCTCTGGCTCAGAGACGGTGGAACAGTGCCAAGAACAGACAGCTTGTTTTATTGGGCTAGTAAGCAGAGAGTACCTCACAAAGCTGCATTGGTTGAAACACAGAGGTTTTTTCTCCCCCATTTCACCTCATGATCTCCTCTACCTCCTATAGTTGTTGCTCGCCTTAAACAGCCTGCCCACACTCCTTCAGTCATTTTTAAGTCAGGACAGGAGATTCATCCACTACCACTAGGAATACCATTCTGTGATAGTTAATGATTCAAATTCAGAGTGGACTCTACAGAGGTACACATGATAGTGAGCGGGATAGAGAAGGTCAATATTTTCAGATATGCTAGGGCAGCAGGACAAGAGGGC